TGCTGGTATAGGTATTTATGACAGGTCACCTACGTGCACTGCACTTTGTTGTAAACCGTCACAATGTAGGATATTTCAGAAGGTCCATTTTATAATATTTTACCTTTTTTACTTATGCCGAGATTCGTTTATGGTTAATTGAAATAAATGCTTTGTCTTTGACTTTGGAGGCTCCAGAGCACCTAGGCTATTTTGTAACCCTCAATTCGAACTTTCGTAATGAGCTCGATCACATTCTCACCCATCATTAGTCCAGATTATTCTCACAACCAATAACATAGCCGACTGCAATTGAGCTCACTTCGGAAGTTCCATATCTTACAAAATGGCCTTTTATGAGGGGGGAAAATCATCCAATATTACTCCCGGCTTGTGTTAGGCAAAAGGGAGTGTTAAACTCTTTCTGAGTAAAAACCACCCTGTTCCTACTCCTGCTCTCCGTGTCGGAGCCCCGGCAACCCATTAGGCCATCCGCGTCTCTGTGTCGGGCATCTGTCTTACTGGGCCCTATCTGATCTTACAGAATGGCCTAGCAAGTATGTTAGAGGATCCGGTGCCCTCTTTAAGTGATAGTGATAATGGCTGGTCATTAGATTTTATAGTGAGATTAAAACCCTAAAGAAGCTATATAACAATATCTATGGAACGTATGTACCTACTTATCCAAGTGGATAGTAAATGGAAGTGGGGAACTATATTAAAGTGTCTAGATCTATTCGGGGAATATAATGCAAGCGTTACGTAATTTATGTCAAGTACAATTCATCTGGACATATATGTACTTAGGTTTTGTAGATAAAACTCTAAAATGATTAAAATGATTTCGGAGCATATTTTTTAAAATTTAAATAGTGTGTTATACATTTTTAGAAGTCTTTTTAGTGATTTTATTTTAAATCAAGACAATTATTGAATAGTATTTTGTTCAACTCGGTCGTTGAGCCTAAACCCTTTTGTTTACTTGTGATGTTTAACTAATAAGACAATTTTAAAAAGTTATTATTTTTCCTCATACTATCGTGTAAGTCATCGTGCCAAGTCATAAGTGGAACTTCTGCCGTCAATGCTTTTCCTTAAAAAAACTGAATCATTTCTCTGATCGTATATAAGCTGTGGTAGCAGACGCCATTGTTAGTGTTCCCGCCATCTCACAGCGAAAGAGGTGTGTACCAAAAAGTTTTGTTTATTTCTTATCATGAGCATAGATAATAATATTTTTTACGTAATTGTAAAAGGTTTTACACAAAGTATATTTGTAAATAAATTAATAGATCTATTAACGGTAATTTTATCTGTAATTTAATCCTTTTTCACAAACCTAAACTATACTTAAAATATTTTTAAATACTGAACAGTCATCTTTACTTTATTGTTGCATTTTTTACATCTTTCTCATCAATGCAAACATCGGTAATAACTGTATTTTGAAATTCATTACAATAGTTTCAGTCTATTCGTACTTATTCATTATAATAACTCTCAGAATTCAATCTCAACTTTTTAATTAAAGTTAAATTTCGCAGATACTGGGGATCAAATTCAATTTTTTCTTACTGCCCCTATTTACCGACTTCGTTTTTATTTTTCAGAACATGGCAGTTATGAACAGCATAGTTTTGGCCGCGTGCATAGTTCTATGTAAGTAGATATATGTACCTACCTATTTTTAGTTATATCGTCACGCTTTTTTCCATTGAAGGGTAGGGGTAGGGTAGGTACAGGTGCACACAATGCGACATAATAATACACAGTGAACCCATCCAATTTTCACAAGTTACGTTAAAAGTCCATTAAAGTAATAACAAAAATGTTGTTTTATCTCTGTCTCCAGATTATTGTGTTTATTATTATTTTATGTTAAGTTGTAGGTATTATATTTGTGTTTGTTTAATGTGTAGGTACCTATTCTGTGTGTTTAACGTTATTTAATATTTTGTAGTTTTACCATATTTTTTCATTTAATTTAATACTCTTTTTTATATTGTGTAGGTTCTTCAATTTAGTTTCCTTTTGTATTTTTTGTAATTTAATTAATGTAATTGGTGTATGCTATACCGTAGGTATTAATTAATAAACAAATAATAGAGAGTCAAACTTGCCGAAATATCACTCTATTGCTGAGAATTTTTCAAAAAATTCATATAATTTTGTTCCTGAATTGATTATTTGTAATTGCAACTCTATCTTGGATATCCGTATAAAAAAAAAATATTTTTTTAAACTAAAATAATTAAGGCTGAAAACTAAAAAAGGTTCAACATCAGCTGATCTGTCTGCTCGTTTGCCGCCTATATTCCATAAAAAAAAAAACAATTTTTCGCCATTAACAGGCACAGCCCAACCCATAGAGAAGTCGGAAGCGAAGCTCCCGGTACTGAAGGCGCAACCTGCTGAAGTTCTGTTCAAAGCCGACAACTACTCCACCGTGCTCCTGGAGTGCACTACAGAAGGAAAGGAGAAGGATGTGAAGTGAGTAAACATACATAAGTATTATTTTTTATCGTTATACATCATTAACACTCCAACAGCCCCTGAAATTCCATTGCCGCATAATGGGCCCACATACAAGTTCACATACAAATTCAAATTGTAACAGTCATGTGTATGTGAAACCACGACACAGGACGAAAGTGCTAGAGTGGGGTAACGTTGTTAAAAAAAACTATAGGTTTTTTTTTTAATAAGCCGGTAAACGAGCGGACAGATCACCTGATGATAAGCAATCGGCGTCGCCCATGGACACCTGGAACACCAGAGGCGTTACAAGTGCGTTGCCGGCTTTTTGGGGATTAGGAGTTTGAGGCTCGATGCGGATTCATATCTATAGGTACTCTACGCACGACAGTAATAGTAGGTAAAAGCTCCTGAACCTATTCATACAAGGAAATTGCATAAGTTATCCTTATAAATAAATAAATAAAATGTCTTATGTATAACCGCAATTACTTATAGATACAATCATTCACATTGAGGAAAACCGAACAAACTTACTTATCTACAAAACAATACGGATACCTATTTAATATTCATTCACAAACTACAGCATAGGTACGTCATTTCAGTGTGTTAATCCCCGTCAGACATGACAGTGTAGTCCTTGAAGTTTCTGTTTTTAATATTTATTTAATAAGAAGGGCCTTTTTCTTAAGAAGAAAAAGTCAGCCCTATATAAAAAAATTAAGCAGCTAAACCGTTTATAGGTTTAACTAGCACTTAAGCGGTTACCGGGGCTCCGGCTCGACGTGCAGGAGAAGGAACGGGGTGGTTTTTAGTCAGTAAGAGTCTGACACTCCCTCCCGCCTCACCCAGGCGGAAGCAGTCATTCGATGATTTTCCCCCTCGTCGAGTACCGTCATTATAGACACAATTATAGAACAATAGGTTGCGGTCACCGGTGACCGCTTGGTGTTTGACAGTTTAAAAAAAGTTTATACATTAAATAATTAAATGATAGGTACAATTTTCTAGCCTCAGATGACAATGGTGACGTTAAACCACTGTGATAAAAACCAATATTAAAGCTTTTAAAACTAAAGACCTGATACCATGATTATTCATCATCATCGTCAGCCCGTTGACCGAGTGGTCGCAAGTACGACTGCATGGGGTCGGGCAAAGAATTACTGGGATTTAAAAAAAATCTATGTAGGTATAGTAGCACGGGGTCTGAATTGTGCCTGGATCTACTCTCTCTTGGTGAGGTGAGACGGAGTGACTTTTATTGACTAAAAACTATTCCTATCTAACTCCTGCTCCGAGCCAGATCTCGATATTTCCACTGCCGGCCACCTAGCAAATATCGTCACTAGCTAGAAAGCATCCTACACTTGCGTTTGCTTAGGTCTCCACTCCAGAATACGTCTGTTCCAATAGTCATAGGTTCCCCGATAAATGTAACCAGGTTCTGACACATCACCCTGCTATTTTAATTTAAAATCAAATAGGAGTGGAGGCCAAATTAAAAGTATTGAGAAACTTACACTCGAATACTGAAGGGTTACTCTATTTTAAGTTGTAGGTCTGTACTTAAATATCGTATCATCTTTGTCATTTTACAAAGAATTTGTAGAAACAGAAGTATACAGGCTTACTATTGACTTCAAATTGAGTGACGTTTGAGTATTAATTGGACATTAATCTGCAATCATCATAAATATTATATCCAATCAACTGTTTTCCAGGTACTCATGGCTAAAGAACGGCAAACCTTTCGACTGGGAGAAAGCTGGACATATCGCCCAACGACCAGGTGAAGGTAGCATTATGTTCTTCAATCCCAAACCGGAAGACGAAGGAAAATACCAATGCCTGGTCGAAACACCCGCTGGCACCGCTAGTACGCGCCAGATCCAACTGAAACGTGCTTTCATCAATGCCCCACAAGTAAAAACCCAGGAACATACCCCAGTTGAAGGGAAACCATTCAAATTGGAGTGCCCTATACCAGAATCTTACCCAAAACCGAAGATAGTCTGGAAGACGCAGCTTCGCTCAGACCCAAGCATCGTGGAAGAGTTTTTGAGCCGCAGAATTACCTTATCTCCTGATGGCACCATATGGTTTTCAAACGTAACCGAATCTGATGTCAGTCCCAGCTTCAAATATGTCTGCTTCGCCCAAACTCCAGCTTCCGGCCAAGATGTTGTGTTGGCTGAGCATTTTTTGAAGTCTTTGGTACAAGATAAGGGACCTAAGGATGGAGAGTTGACCCCTCAGTACGTTAGCAATGATATGGTGGCTAAGACTGGTGATGTCACTATGTTCTACTGCATCTATGGTGGCACGTGAGTATCTTCTTTAATTTTTGATTCTCAACGAAGGCAGAAGTGCGCAATGCCAAAACGTAAAAACCAGTTCTTTTTTTTTAAATAACTCCTTAACTTAGCCAGATCATGAAAGAAATTATAGAATTTCCAAGACAATTAATACTTATGAACTTGTTTGTTCAGCCAACAAATTAAAAGTCTTAAATTTTAGGGGCTAAAAATAAAATACACTACTTAAGTATTATGACAAGTCTTCAACATCGTCGTTTATTAAACTTACTATAATGTTTAGTATAACAATCAGCAGAACTGTAAGTGTAAGAGTTACACATACGTTTAGGACATGCACAACAACCGAGTGAATACAGGAAGATACAAATGAATTGATAGAGTCTATGACATAAAGTCCCATCGTTGGCTGTATGAAGTATCGTCTTAGTCTATCCGGAAATCCCGTTTTTGTTTATGGCAATATTGAATTTGCTTTTGGCGCGAAGATTGAAAACATTTTGGATTCTGCCTATAACGGACACGGTTATTGCTAAAAATAAGGAGAAAAAATATTATAAAAAATATCAATTTCACATATATCTCTATCAAAAGCCATGTTGATTGAGCACTGAGCCTGAAAATTATATTACCTCATTCTCGAAGACTTTTCAATCATAATCGGATTCTGGATTCGAGTCCGCTACCACTTGCTCGGTAGTCCACTTAACCAATGATTATTTTTACGACATTTTCATATCATTTTATTCCGAGTATGGCGATAAAGTTTGTTATGTCAATTAATATTCCGGCACTTAAGTGTTTATAGATAAATTCATAGTTTGTTTTTATTATCCTTTTAATGGATAAAACACATAAAAATGCTCATTATTTTTATGTGAATACCTCGAGTTTTCAATGTTAAAAACGTTATTTTTTATGTTGACATCTGTCAATTTTGAACGCCATTGCAATTTTTGTAGATAAAATAGAAAATATTTTAAAAAGATATAATATTTCTCTTTGACACAACCTACTTACTTTTTAAAACCTTTTTATGCTGTCGTGCTATATTGTTTATCAAGGACGTCTTAGTCTCTACCAAATATAATAGTTTAGACTTGGTTTAGACTATTTCCGTGATTCATCGCACAAACTTCACTACCTTTCATTGATTTTTCCATCGAATCATTTTCTATATAGGTCACCATAAGCATAATCCTTTTATTCTCTATTCCAGTCCACTAGGCTTTGTAACCTGGTACAAAGACGGAAAAGAGATCAACGCCAAGCCAGGAGACAGAGTGACAGACCACAATCGCACCAGTGGTAAGAGGCTGCTCATCAAAGAGACCCTACTGGAAGACCAAGGAGAGTACAAATGCGTTGTCGGTAATGAAGTAGGCAAGAAACAAACTCACACAATGAAGTTGGCTGTAGTCAGTAAGTGTTTAACTTCATAACTTTAAAATGGCACACGTCCTTGAATGGAACCATATAGGTGTGAAATAATGAATTTTTAACTTTTCCTTTTTGGAATAAAGTTCTACTGGATTATTCGAATGCAACTATTTCAGCTTTAAAGAGGACGTAATTTCAAAAAGCCTGAAGTTATGTAATAAATAATAAAAATAACGCCGGTTTGATAAATTACAGAAACAATTGGTGCATTTACTTAATGAGGATTCTAAGTATATCACTTACAAAATGTCTCAATATTTACAGGTGCCCCAAAACTCTCCAAGTCTGCTGAAAAGCAGATCGACGTGAAAGAAGGCCAAGATGTTTCCATTCCTTGCCAAGTTACCGGATTGCCTGAGCCAAAAGTGTCTTGGACATACAACGCCAAGTCCCTAGGCGAAAGGGCCATTTACAAAGACGGCGTTTTGACCATCAAAAACGCTAAAAAGGGCGATACTGGCTATTACGGATGCAAGGCCGAAAATGAGCACGGAGATCTGTATGCCGAAACTTTAGTACATGTCGCTTAGACTGCAAAAAAAGGCTAAAAGTATTAGTTTACCTAGTTGTAAGACCAAAGTTATGTGATTCAATTTACTTAATTAAATAATATAGAAATTGTAACCATTATTTAACGTTTTTTATTTCCACTCCAAGAATGTTGATAAAACTACTTATTCATCTAACCACGTCGCATGGTGCAACTATAGAAAATAATGTGATAACAAGCGTAGCATAAATGGGCACGTTGCCATTGCAGCGGTAAGCCCCCTCTCCTCCACCCCTCCTCCCCTCTTTGAGGAGTAGCTTGAGAGACGCTACAATGGCGTCCTCACCTACCGCCTGACGCAGGTCCTCACCTTCCTGTGTCTGATGGGGCGGGAGTAAACGCCCGGGTGTCACCACTGCGAGGACCGCCCTGAGGACATGGGGGAATATATTTTAGCGGAATGCCCTACGTGGGCTGAGCACCGTCGTGCCCTCAGGGAAGCGATCGGCGATGGCAATCTCTCGCGTCCGGGCCTAGTGCAGGTCATGATGCGGAGTATTTGTTGACCTCAAATCATATAAGCGTACCCAACAATGATAGGTCATTTTATACTAGTCATAAATTGAACGGGACCCCTCCCGCCTCACCCAGGCGCGAGGAGCCCCACCACACCCAGGCGGTAGAAGTCATTCGATAATTATCCCCCCTTAAAAAAAACCGTAGCATAAAGACTTCGTGTCAAAACCCACAATTTGACTATTGACATTGACTTTGACAACTAATCGAATTTGACATGACAATGACATTCAAATGACAACGCGTATAACCTCAGATTATGAATAGAAGAATTCAAAACAATAAGAAAATACAATTAAAATCATGTTTTTCTTCTATTTGTTAAGTTTATTGTCGCTAGCCGTGCAGGCTACATTCATAACCTTATCCATTGGTAAGTCCTACTTTTATTTTTAATCGAAAAACGTAATTTAATTTATAATTTGCGAAAAATCTTGTTGTGTGCGATAATTTTCCAAATGCACAGATGTAATTGATTGTTATTTCTCTAACATATACCCTATAAACGTATACCCAATAATCTACAATTATTTCTGTAAATTCTTTGAAAATAGGACTTAAATCATTAAAGAAAAAATAATAAAAAAAAACGGAGAATCATTGGTCATAATGTATTCTGAATTTAATTAAATGTAAAAACCTATTAGAATTCTAATTTGTTTATCAACGTGCTGCGTATGAAATTAAAGAAACAATTGCTTTCAAATGCTTTACAAGATATTTATTTAGCCAAAGTATCTTTGGCCAGATTCCAATAAAAAATTGGCCTGTAGCAGTAATTAAATGTCTATATTAATTGCACATTAAAAAGGTACAATTAAAAGAAGTTTGATAGCATGTCACCTCTATGGTCACTTATTAAAAAAAAAATCTAATATCAAAATCTATTTTTTTTTTGTATACTTATTATAGCCAAGTAACTTGATTAGCTATTGAATTAGGCAATAGCCTAGCATGTTAAATTAATGATATTTAGTAATTCAGCCAATAATAGTATGTTAAATAAATGATATAATAGAACAAACATTGTAGCCGATAGTTTCTTATAGTGATTCGATTTCTTTTAGTAGTCGCAGATAGGTTCGAAACCTGGCAAGTATCAATGTAACTTTTTCCAAATTTTTATGTTCTTTCTAAGAGTAACATATCATAACATCCAACCGTTTATCCCTGAAGGGGTAGGTGCACATTATGGCACTTAATGTCACTGTACTCACAATGTAGCACCCACTTTTCACTATTTATGTCGAGTCCCATGTAATAGGGGGTGAGTCTATTGCCATATACCGGGCACATTCCCAGACTCCGTGCTACTACTGAGATTTTTTTTTAAATCCCAGTGATACTTTGCCCGACCCGGGTTTCGAACCCAAGACTCATCGCCTGGCAGTCGTACTTACGACCCTTGAAACCCTTGAAAACTGGTCTGTTTTGTTTCCAGCGGCTGGCCTGTACTATTTAGCAGAATTAGTCGAAGAATACACTGTGATGGCCAAATACATTATAACATGGACTGTTATAGTGAGTATTATGAATTTTCTTCATATTCTTAACATTTTTACCACCTTCATACAAGTTTATTTCATTACCTTTATGTTTATATTTTTGGGTCTGGGACACATGTATAAGTGAACTTGTATGTTTGTAAACGCAACCACGATACAGGAGAAAATCCTAGAGTGAGTCAACGGTTTTTTTAAATAAAAATTTAAAAAAAAATCTTTACTTTTTTCCAGGGTACAGCCTCAATCCACATAGGACTGTTAATCTTCGAGGACATTCCTCTATACCTGAACGCTTTAGGTCTAGTTCAGCAGGCATTCCATATTCTCCTCCTCAAAGACTTCCCGGTGGTTCGAATAACCAGCGTCACATTTGTGACCGCAGTCCTCACTTTGGTACTACATCATTATTTGGCCTTCAAGTTCTTCGGTACTGTGTTCTATAGTTTTTCAGAGGTATGTATTTTATTATAATGTTGTTTCACTCTTTCTTGTTTATTAATTGTTATTAAATACTAAGACTTAACCCATTTAGACCGATAATTATTTTCGTGAATAATTTTAGTTATTTTAACTTATATTCATTAAGAGGGGTACAAACAACAATAAAAAAATATTTAAAAAAATATACAATTACTGGGGAGACGTAGGGGGGGTGTACCATATCGGGTACAGTAGGACTATATGCATACAAATATACAAGATTTTCCAATTAGCTAATTTATTTATTTTTTTGTGTGATACATATTAAAACATTCCGGGATAAGGTACAGATATTTTATTTTTTTGTTCCTGCGAATAGCATTCAGTTTTGTGTACAGGATTTATACAAACTGCATTGGAACACCCTGAAACCATGCTATTATCGTACCACCTACAAATTATTACATCATCCGAGACGCGATAATCGTAGAAGCCTCTTTCCTTTTTTTCTTCTATGTGTCTCAACAGGCAAATTATTTATATCGATGTTATCTTCCACACGAGTCTTCATCAGTTCGATCCTCATGGGCAGGGATACTGTCAGTATAGTGCTGGTAGTAAAAAAATATCTCTTCCCTGATTATTCATATCATCATCTTCTTCAAGAACTATTGCAATTTCGTGCAGTGTCAGTGGTCTGAAATAAAAATAAAATAAAATCAGGTTTAGATATTATAGTTATCTATTAGTATACTAGATAGTAGGTACAAGAAGATGTTGATGTTACATAAACCTACTGTACCATATGCGGTACACCTTCTTTACGACCAAATATATCTTACTAAACTAACCTTACCGAAAATTGTTTACATGTATAATATTTCTTTAGACCTACTCTGCAAAATAGTAACGAAAAATAATATTATTTACAATAAATAATATGGAACTTACCTTTTCGAAGTCATTGTATATATTTCCTGTAGTCCTAGCTGGGTGTCTTCGATAAAATTTTCAACGAAATTTGCATAAAAATACTGTTGTATTATTGTAAATGGAAAGCTAACACTCTGAACTAATTGTTACAATTAAAAGAATAAAATATTAATTTGTGGGTAGGCCAAAATATTTTTATAAACTTACTGTACCACATGTGGTACAGTAGGTCTATATGGGTTAA